TTCTAAAATAATGTCAATCATTAATTTAATACATGCACGGGGACAGTCACGCACGTGAATAATTAACAGTTCCCTGTCACATACGAACAATCAAGATACAGACAAGGCGCATTTAAGCCGAATTTACAGTCTAGTTTAAACGTCTTTTAAATTTATTACCAACTAGTTTTAGCAGGACCTAGCAAATTCATTTGACTTGACTAGGAGATTTAGTAACTGTGATAGTCTGTTTAGCTTGCTCTGGCGATCAGACACCTTTAACAAACCGGGACGAAGGGGCCATTTTTGTGCCAACCTGAAATCGGCATGTGGTATGGTGTTTTCCGACTGCTCTATTACATATTACATTTGCGAAAAACAATCGAATATTTAAGGTGGACCCATCACTAAAATCAACCATTTTTGAGGAATTGAAAGTCGGTGCACCAACTAAACAAATTCAAGCTAAGCACACTGCTGAGATCTTACGCCCTAAATTAAAAAAAAAATTTCATTTTCCCCTCAATAGCGTCAAATAAAACCATTTGGAAATACTTAATAAACCCACACTGTATATTACCATGATGCATTCATTTGAATAGTTCTTATTTTGCATGAGAAAAGGAAATGATATTTCCCTGAACGATAAACAACGTCCAACAAATTGTAAGATAACAGATGTACAATGCACATAGTTTTGGTCAAATGTCCGTTGTTATCATGTTTGGAATAAAACTTATATTCTTCTTTATTCAGTTTTTTGCGATCTGCCCATGAAATAAATCCACACCATAGTCTAATACAACTGAAGCATAAAAGAAACGTCTTACCTTTTAACGCAGAAAGGTTTAGCTCTCCCTAACTAATTATGATGAATAAAATTGGAAAATGCTATTTACATATTTCTCTGTCGTTTCTGTTTACAGTGTTGTCAACATCATCTCTATGATGTTTACTGTTTATGACGAAACAACATACGCCAAAGACGTTGCATCACGACGTTATAACATGACGTAACAATCCACAGAAAACAATGATATCTTATCCATGTGTTTATTCAAGCTGCCGGTGTAACTAAACTGAGAGTCCGTGGAACAGAATGTCTGCCCTCTATTTAGTTATAAAATATAGTGTTACTCCTTCGTGGCCGAGTGCTTTACGAAGGTACAAAGAACACAATACTCACTGGTGTAAGTCAATAATTCAAGAGCCAAAGGAGACCAAAGAGGCCGATTTAATTCAAGTCAGACCTTATACTCATGTTCAGCTAATGCACGTATACCAGTCAGAACCGTTTATACAATGAACAGTTTTACATTTAAGTTACCAATCACAGGAGAGATTCAAACTTGCACACCAGACTATACTTTACTTATAGAGACATCTACCAGGTAGCAATATTAAACAATCTCAACTAACACAATACATTGTCACAATAAGGCTAGTCCGGGATTTAAACCCGGTGTGGCGTGTACCGCTCGGAGCGTGAACCATCCGTTCTGCTCATGCGCACAAAGCGCAGGCAAATCTGAGATACTTCCAGCGTGTACAGTCCGTCTCTATCAAGTCATGAATACATTCTTAGCCTTTAATAAACATGCACTGTTGAGAACATACTGCAAATTCAAACATAATCTTTAGAAGTATTCATATCTTATAGATGTCCACTTGGGCTTCAGCGTAATGAGTTTACGACTGTTAACTAAACTCCTTCAGACTTTGAGTATTGTGAGGCATAGGCCTATATATCTGAGAAGTCAGGATTTTGATAAATTTGCCCAAGGCATAGAAAAGTTTGCCTCGTGCCACTTGTCAAGTTTAAAATTGCAGGCGAGGGTTATTTCATACACCGTAAGTATGATTTTGTTTAGCATCGCTTGGTATATTATTTTATGTGACGGGGTGGGATAGGAGTGGGGAGCTAAGGGCGCGATCCTCTGGACCTTGATCAGTTTGTCATAACTACCTGTAAATACATAACACGGACTGATAACTAATAGAAACAATTAATGTTAGACCGACTGATAATTTAATGCATTTCAAAGATGTAGCTTGATAGCATAGATTTATATCCTATGAATACGGGTCTATTCTAGATATCTTTATTGGTGCTTGTAAATGTACTACACGTATAAATTCAGCTACTTAAGGGAAAGATCATTGTGTTTAACTTGAATAATGTTTGTGCAACTCTTGTTTGAACTTTTTTCACTCCGCATGGGTTACGAGTGCGTGTGTGTGTGTGTGTGTGTTACACCTAGCTTATTTTATACATGTGGATAACATAAGATAAGATGATGTAAATGATAACGATGTATTATGTGATAACAAAAAATTAAATTATACCATTTGGCGGTTAAACATGACGCTGGAAAACACACGGGATTTACACGCTGTGTCAAGATGTTAGTAATTTCAATAATGATGATGCTCATTTTTTTTCACACATTGACGTTTTACCTTGAAAAAAACTTGATTTTGCTAACAACTACTGGTTACATAGGAAGTCTGTGCCGGTATTTATTTAACATATTGTATTCCATACTTCAGAGTAGCCAGATTTTTGTTGTTGATAGAATAACTAAAAGAACTTTTCAATTTTTTAGTTTTTCAGCACCTCTTTAGTCACTGTACATGCACAGCATACATGTACTAACTATAGTAGCCTATGCTTAGTGTAAAAAAAAAAGAAGAAAAAGCTTACCTTTAAAACTCTAGTTTGATAGTCTATAAGAGTCTCTTTTTTGCTGAAGTCTATAGACGTAGATCTAGATCTACATATTTTTCTGAGCTTTTTATCATGTATGTTGTCAACGTATCACAAGGGAATGACGATCCAAACGCTTGTGACGAAATAATACAGATTAGCGGCATTGCGTCAGAGCGTGATGACGTGACGTAATGATTGCTTGTTCTAGTGCAGCTTATTGCATGTCCTACCTGTTTTGTTACCTCTTTCATATAAGGTTACTTGATATCCCTACATGCAGAGAAAAGGCAAATTTTGAGCTAGACTTATCAGGTGAACATAGCCAACGCCGAGTTTGTGCTAATAAACAAAATGAGGACACCTTTAAGTTGTTTAGGCCTACTTGCTCGATAGAATTCGATATTTTAGAGTAGTTTGATGTAAGCCTTAAGGCGGTCAAAATGCAAGTGTATGTTTTAATCGGCAGGAATAGAATGAACAAATAAATTCGATGCTGTCAAGAAACAACTGTAGTTACTATCATGGCTAACAGATGGCGCAAGAATCTTTAAAATTACGGGTTCTGCGCGATGGTTGGTGGCCTGGGAAGCCTCCTGAGGGGCCCAAGTTTTTTTTTTTTTTTTTTTTTTTTTCAGAAGGTCCTAGTTAGTGTAACGAAATAAGCAGGCAATTTGTAGGGAAAAACGATAGTTATGGCGAGAAAAGTATAGACCCTATATGTCTCAACTTTTTCCGTTAAAGGAGTAAAAATGATCCCCTGTTCCAGGGGGGTTGTTCAATGTGAAGCTAACCTGTTATCCTACAGTAAATATTTATTTATTCTATTTTCATTGGTTGTCTTTTGTTTTGTGGGCCAACACATCTCTTAGTGTTACATTACAATAAAAGAAAACGGGACAAAAATAATTTCTTGCCTTCAACTATCTGTGAAAATTGTTCATATGATACATACGTTACTGATACATACGTGACCAAAAATATGAAGGTGTTGTTTTCTAATTTCATGGATTGTTCTCTGTTTTCATGACTTTGTGAGTGCGTGCGACGTTGTATATGTTGCGCACGCATGTTTTTACATCGCTCATTCTTATTTGTTACGTAAATATGATCCATTATACATACGTTACCAAATATTGTGAATTCGTTTCAATTCACCGTATAGATCTTAAGGAAAATATAAGTATTATTACTCTCTGAAGATCTACTTTACAGATGTCAAATATAATACAAGCTTTCGGCCCCTGGACTCTCTTCGGAAGAGGCATCCGCTTACCATGTAGCGTGTTAATACTTATTTTTATTGTTTGTTGTCCGTTTTGTGGGCAAACGCCTTATTCTTATGGTATAGGCCTACTACATTACAATAAAAAGGGAAAGCAGGGCAAGTAAAGATTACTTGTCTTGAAACCGTTTGTTGAAATTGTTTATATGATAGATATTTACGCTACCAAATAACGTGAAGGTATTGTTTTCTGATTTCATTGTTTGTTCTCTGTGTTGTCGCGACTCTGTGGTTGCATTGTATATGTGCGCATGCTTGTTATTACGTCGCTCATTCTTCTTTGTTACGTTAATATGATACGTAGTCTACGTTACCGACATGGTAACGTACATACGGCATGGTAACGTATGTATCGGTAACGTATGTACTGTATCATATTTTCGTAACAAAGAAGAATGTGCGACAGAAAAACATGCATGCGCACATAGGCCTATACAACGTCGTACTCACCCAAAGAGTCGTGACAAAGGACAACAAACAATGAAATAAAAAAAAACAACACCTTCACGTTATTTGGCAACGTAGGCTATATATCGGAAAAGCGGGCCCTATCTATCATATAAACAAATTCAACAAACGGTTTCAAGACAAGTAATCTTTACTTGCCCTGCTTTTTCTTTTTATTGTAGTCCCAAGTCCAAGGCTCCAAAATTAAGCTCTAAATGTGCTTGAGATTTTAGAGTCTATGAAAGTTAAGATAACATTACATATAGATAGAAATGTAAAAGTTAATTGCTTCAGTAATTCAGTGGATTGCTGAAAATGATATTCGGGTGTCTCCCTGGCTTGAGATGACATTTGGTTTCTGAGCACTAGCTGTGTAGGGATGCGACTGGGCACAATGCATTGTGATTGCTGAGACCGGCACAATAGGCCCTACCCTCACTGAAAGGTATAGATACACAGTAGATAAAACAGGATCTATTTCTTTATCCGCTTATATAATGCTGGAATAAACATTTTCGTGTTATGAGATAACGCTGCCACAACAAAAAAATACAATTGGAGTGAATTTGTTTATCGAGCTGATGCAGCAGTCGCGCAGTACTTAAGCGGAAGTGACGTATTTTCCATAGGCAACACGCGCCAATAGGGACATTACAAGGTTTTAATTATGTCAGGAAGACAAGGTAAATTGTAACCGTTTTCATTCACAAGTTTTTCCTGTATTTGTTGGTGAATTACAAGATACTTTGAAGACTGAGAATAATATGATGGATTGCATTTCAGTTAGATTTCTTTTGTTGATATTTGTTGTTGAATTAGTGTCAAAATCCGCCATATTTTAGTTTGTCGTTCATTAGTAGTATTACTACAGCGTTAGTCAAAATTTGGTCAGTAAGTAACTACGACACAAGTTAATGGCGATAAACACTATAACCTTGCTTTGAAACCACGCACGTACATAATTTCTCAACTTCTGCTCCCACCAAAAATCATGATGACTTATGTTTTTTACCACTGTGGTTGTACGTTGTATGTAAAAGTTGAATTCAATAAACATTTCTTGTAGGACATAAGTGGTTACTAGTAAGTCCATAGCATCTCTCTCTCTCTCTCTCTCTCTCTCTCTCTCTCTCTCTCTC